TTCCAGTCATGAACTTAACACTCGGAGCATCACGTGAAGGATGGCAACCAGGAACACAGCTTACGAGGTAACAGAACTAACACAGAAAAACCCTCTTCTCGAGTAGCATCGCGATACCCCCAACTTCTGCCTACGTCATTTCCTACGACTCCACCCCACACAATATTGCGGAACATAAACATAAAATCCCAGAGCCTTTTATACAATGATATTTACTCTTAATTCTTAATTATGCAGCATCATGACTGTTTGACTCTGAGGGATAAAAATGATAAATCACATATCAGTTCAATAGACATCAAAGTCAAACATCCCCACAACCTTATTCTTACTTACCTTTAGGACCATTTAGTTTTAGTTTAGCTTTAGAAATAAAATTTACTTTCAGGAAGTGACCTGATCCCTCCAAGAGTCAATGTAAAATTACTGTAAAGTTATTATGTCCCAACTCTTGACAGTTATTTCCACTGTGTTTTGGTAAATTGTGTTTTATTCATCCAGTTTTCTATGTGTGACTTGGCATATTAACCTTAGCGTGTACATGTATACCATGCTGCCGTACCCACGTCAGATCCTCATTATATTCAATTGAGGCACAAAGTTAAGAATTTGTTAAAAATATTCTAATATTTAAAAGTGAGACAATATGAGGATCTTTTTCTTTGCTTTCTTTTCTTTTTTATTGTTTTATGTTGAGTTCGATGTTGTTTCTCTCGTGTTGTAAGTGTGTGTGGGGTGAAAGTATGCTGCATATTATTTTTTAGCATTTTTGCTGTGTCAGATTTTACATACCTAACTTTATATGTTTGGTTTGTGAGTCTTACTGTAGGGCATTTTCATTACCAGCTCAATCACACACAGACGCGTCCATCAAATGAGTTCACCGTCCTCTACAATATAGACGACTCTGATTAATTGTTTGAACACATGAGTAAGTAGACTAATGACTGACACAGAGCAATAATGTTCAAGAGTGAGATTAAAATCTGCTGGTGATTCATCATGTGTAGGAAAGCCATTGAGATAAGGGGACAGAGAGACAATGAAAGACAAAAGAGAAAACAAGGAGTGCAGCAGGATGAGATCACATCACTATCTGAAAGAAAGTTCCACAGATAACACCAATTGTTAAATGCAGATAATTTCTCTTTCTTCACTGACCTGTCTCCATGGCATTTTCTTTCTTTCTTTCTTTCTTTCTTTCTTTCTTTCTTTCTTTCTTTCTTTCTTTCTTTCTTTCTTTCTTTCTTTCTTTCTTTCTTTTAGGGCTGTCAGCTATTTTAAAGCAGGGTGCATGTGCATGAAGACCATGGCCTTCAGTTTTCTGCAACACTTTTCTGAAATAGTGTTGTATTAAACCACCCATCATAAAACAATATATACAAACATTTTAGAAATTTGTCAAAAACTAGTTTAAAAGTTTTTGTTTTATTTATTAAGGCAAATAAAACTGAATGCCCAAACATAAATCAGCACAAAGGACAAAAAATAATTCAGTGCCTAAAACTGCAGTTTCTGTTCTGTAAATAACTGTAATTTGACATCCTAATTTGAAAATAATGTGCTGTGGACAACAATAATAATTATATTTAGTATTAAAAATATAATTTGAATGAAAGAACTTGTGCACACTGATGGACTGACAATTACAGAAACAGAAGAAAATTATTTTGTGCCGTTAATTAGGGCAGCTTTGACGTAAACCCCACATTAGATGGTGGTTAAATAAATTTGTTAAGCTCTGTGCATAATGTGCATAATATTAACTGCAAAAAGCTTCACAGAGGAAGATTCACTATCATTACATATGTTATTTAAACAATTATAATAAAAAGTTTAAATGTTAAATGGAAATAAGAAAATGTAACTTAAATATATATTATATACTATAAATAAGAACTGTCAAAAAATGAAAAGAAGAAAAAGAGTAAATCAGCAGTGCTGATGAGGCTGTTGGTGTTCACACACTGCCATTTTCACTCTTTATTTTTCCAGCTTTGGTGTAGTTATCACAACAGTGCTGCTATTTCTTTGTTTTTATTGGTGCAAAACCTTTAAAGCAAGCATCATTAACTGTAGTTATCAATAGAATATGTGGTAAGGAGCACATTATGGAGGAGAAGAAGAATGGCTGAATTATATGTTTATATGGCTACCTTTAATCCAGAGCCTGACCAATCTAGGATCGTGAAGACCAATACTGATATTTTGTTGATGTGAAAATCTGATACTCCAATCATCTAAACATATTTACATTTTTTT